TTTATTGTGTCATCCTGGTGAAACAATACATATTTGGTTATGTGTTTCTTCCTGTGGTTTTCAGTATACCTTAAGGTGGTACTGTGGCTTTGTTTTCTGTTTTAAACAGCATTATAGGGCCCTCCCTGGTGACGCAATGGGTGAAAGCGCAGCACTACGAATTACCAGCAGCCCCTTCAGCACAAGTTTGATGCCCAGCCCCAGAGGTGACCATATGGCATCACAGACCACTCCTGACCCGCCCGCTGCTCCCCTCAGCAGTGTACTTTGTTGACCTGCCTGTTTTGCTCCCCACTCTGTCTCTGGTGAATCCTCTCACTGCCCCTGCACCTCTGGCCCCTACCCCAGTTCAGTATGCATAAATAAACAAATCTTTAAAAAAAATAACTTTGCATTATAGTACAAATATCTTCTGCAGCCAAAAATCCTTCAAAAGCTGTCACTGACAGCAGTACTTCACTAAGTGTTGAGGAGGCTCTCAGAGAAAAGGGCATTTCCTGTCCTCCATCACTGACTCTCACTGGGCTCCTGAAGGCACCACTGGCCCATCTCCCCGGGTCTCTGCGAGACCTGATTTCCCTCCTCTCTCCAACACCACACCCTTGCCTTCACTTTATACTTTCCCTGTGAGTGATCACAGGCCTCCTTGAGGCTTCCATTACAGCTCACACAATGATGAGCCACTCGTTATTACCTTCTGCCACAGACCCGTATGCTGTCTTGAACTGCCCCTTACATGTCTAAGCCATTGTGAACTCAGGATCTCCCCCAAGCCTGGCCAGCTTTCAGGATCAGCCAGCTGGGAAAACAGCACTATCATCCAACCTGATTTCAAGTCAGAAACCTGGCAGTCATCTTGGACGCAACATCACTCTCCTTGCCCGCTCCCTCCCGAATTAACCAATATGTGGCCAAATCGTAAGTGGTCTTGTTCAAGTCCATCCCCTGCTCTCCTCCCCAACCACCATGGGCAGTGGGTAGGGGCATGCACTGCACAGATGCCACCCTCCAGGCCACGCCTTCTAGTTGGTCATGAGAATACCCCCCAGGTGTTCACCCTCCCGGTAGGTCTCTCCAAGCTACTTCCCAACATTTATTAAAATGCAAATCTAATCATGCTGCTCCTTCCCGTACTTACGGCCTCACCTACAGTTCCCTGAGTCACGCCCCACTCTCCCAGTTTTCCTGCGTGGACTGGCCCTTTCCTACCTCTTCTGTAACAATGGCCTCAGTCACTCCAGCCCTCTGCAACTACTCAGATGTGCGGACTCCCTTCCACCTGGCCCATCAGCAAGCTCCATCTTCTCCCTACCCCACCTGTTGTGGGGATTCTTCATAGGCCCCACACAGAGCACACCTCTCCAACTCTCTGACTAGGAAACCTCTCCCAGCACACACCCCGACAGGGCCCTCCTGTAGCACTTACTTTTGTGTGACCTTGTCTCTGATGAGTATCTATCAGAGAAATTAAGTTCCCCTCATTTTCTTTCACCTACAATAAACATTTATGGTCAGTCCACATTTGTTGAAGGAAATGAACTACCTAGATAATATGGTGTGATATAAATTCATTGTTCTTTCAAGAGATGTTAAATGCCTACTATATTTTAGTTTTATATTCTCTGATTTTTTTATTATAAAATGCCACAAGATCTTTAAACATGAAACAATTTCTTTAATCATTTACTCATTTTTTTAAAAAGTAAGACTCTTGGTACACATTACTGAACTGCTTTTGAAATATATGTAGTCTACCCTAATCTGACACATAAACTTTGGTAATTTGATGGAAAAAAGTGCTTTAACTTGCATTATTTTCCTGAAAGTGAACTGTTCTTTATATTGTGTAGCCATCTATATTTTCTCATTGATAAATGTTTATTCTATCCTGTCTATTGAGCTAGCCATATCTTAAAATTTCTTAAACTATTTGAATTTTTACAATAATGATTTGTCATAATTCATGCAAATTATTCTTCCCAAATTTTGCTTATATGATGCTATTATTAGGTACTTTAGTCCACAAAGATTTTTTTATTTCATCTATGATTTTCATCTATGAGTTGACCCTTTCCTACCTCTGCAACCTTGTGTGAGCTGTAATGGAAGCCTCAAGGAGGCCTGTGATCACTCACAGGGAAAGTATAAAGTGAAGGCAAGGGTGTGGTGTTGGAGAGAGGAGGGAAATCAGGTCTCGCAGAGACCCGGGGAGATGGGCCAGTGGTGCCTTCAGGAGCCCAGTGAGAGTCAGTGATGGAGGACAGGAAATGCCCTTTTCTCTGAGAGCCTCCTCAACACTTAGTGAAGTACTGCTGTCAGGGCTGAAAATGTAGCTCTTAGCATTTGCATAACCCAGGAAGTTTTAGGAAATGGAAACTCTTCCCATTGTATGAGTTATACTAAAAAATGTTTGGGATTTTTTGCCCCAGTAACAAGTTTGTGTCTTAAAGTATTTTTAACAGTATATACACAATAGAGTATTAGTCAGCTATTGAAAAAGATAAACACAACTTACCATTCACAACAACATGAACTGAACTGGAAGAGATAATGCTAGTGAAGTGAGTTAGAAGAGAAAGACAGATACCAAATGGTTTCACTTTCATGTGGAATATAGACAAAACAAAGGGTCATTTAAAACCAAATCAAGAATCACCTCCAGAAATCAGACTGTAGAATCGAGGGTACAGTGGTGGTGGTGGGAAAGGGTGGAAGAGGGGTGGAGAGCAGGCAGGGTGGTTAGAGAGCAAAATGGGGAGTCACAATATACCACGGTGAAGGACTATGGGAACTCTGGTGGAGGGCGCACTGTGGCAACACACACAGAAGGGGGTGAACCTGCACCACAAAACCATATACTGTGTTGTAAACCAATGTGACATCAGTGAAAGAGAAAAACACAAAAAAGGGGAAATACAACAAAAATACATTTATATCGTTATCTAGCAATGGGGACCTCTCTCCAATGTGCACAGATCAAGGATGTTGGGGATTTGATAAATTAGCTTTTACAAACCTTCTGGCAAGGAGATGTATAATAAACTCAGATCAACCGCCCTGGTTAAGAAAGAAATGAGATAATACAGGTTTGGGGAACTAGGATTGAGAAAAAGGAACTAAATTTGATGAGCTAAAGAGTGGGTTTGAGGAAAAGAAATATAGACTTGGTTGAAATTCATTTGCCAGTCACAGAGTAGTTATCCATGAAATATGAAGAGCCTTTAGTTTAGATAATTCCCATGGGCAGACTCCTGCCTGTGGGCGGCCCTCTGACCTCTACATGCTCAGTCTCCTGCCCGCCTTGGAGCTCAAGTCTTCCGCTTCTACTTGCCCATTGTGTCAGATAAACGTGTCTGAAAGCACAAACCCCAGAGAGAGAATTAGTAAGGTTTTTTTTTGTCTTGTACTTCTAGGGGTTGAGACCAACCTAACCACATAGCCTCAGTTTCAATAAAAAGTGGTTTTTATTTCCTGCAGCTTTGAGTTTGTAGCTAGAGTACTTTGATTAGTGTGTGAAAGGCCCCTTTAGAGTTCCCTTGTGGGGCAAGTCTGCTAGGGATGAACTCTGGATTTTTATCAGGAAATGTCTTAATTTCTCTTTAATTTTGGAGGAGGATTTAACTAGATAGAGAATTTCAGGTTGAGAGACTTCTTTCAGGCCTTTGAAGATGCCATCCACTGATTCCTGGCCTCCGTGTTTTGTGATGAGAAGTCAACTGCTGATTTTATTTAGGTTTAGTAGTTTCTTCTCATAAATATTCATTTCAGTTCATTATGAAGCTTTAGTTAAATGTTAGAATTCAAATATGCACCGATTTTAGTTGCGTTGCTCATATTTTCATTGTTTTAAGAGAGAGAATGAGTTCACTTACGCTTTTACTCTGCTGTTTTGGGAAGCAGGTGTCTTGTTTCTAATTATTTTAATTATTCGAGATAACATTTTAAAACTTTATGAAACACTTTCCTTTAATAATTATTTTTCTAGAATTTTGTAATTATTGGTATCTGTTTGGATCATTTTTGAGCTGTTAGAATCTTTTGCTCAAGCTCCCAAAATAACTTCACCTTTTGAGAACATTCAAACTTCCCATTCTTTTCTACTTAATACTGTTCAGCAAACTAACTGAAATTGTTTCACATAGATTCCATTGTATTTTCCCTAGGCACTTGACATTTTTTGGAGAACTGGGATTAATATGCTTCCCCCTTTTTTAAGTTTAAAGCAAACAATTTCTGGGAGAGAACTGGAGAAGAAATACTACTTATCTATGTGGCCAAAGATAAGGGATTCAGAAGGGCTCATTCTATAGGTAGGTATCTTTGTCCAGTTAAGCCACGCTGAACTTCAAAACAAAAAATAAAAGCAAAGGTATCTGGTTGAAAAAGATATTGAGGGATGATACAATGCCCTTTATTCTGCCCGCCTACCTTATTCCTCATGGCAGTCTGGAGGTATTTTCTGGCAACTAGATGCTCAGTTAACTGTCACAAACAGAAGCCAGTCCATAGGCTCCTTAGCATGAGTTCCTGCTTTTTTAAGCCTTCATTCTGCTTTCAAGTGTTTTTCCATCTCTGTTCAACGAGCACTAGTGCATCTGAGTTTCAGTCAGATCCTGCCTCAGACTCTTGTCTGGCTCATAAGCCAAAAACAAAAACAAAAAGAAAAGAAGACTGAACATAAATTTGAAGATGTGGTAGATTCAAGAAAGAACATGATTTCTGTGATACTTTATCACAAGCCCCACTCCATGTCACCACAGAGCAGTGCTTTGACTATCACTGAGGAATACAATGCCAGTTTTCAACTAGGTGCAACAGATATATTATGAATTTTACTTCAGCAGAGAACAGAGGGTGTTAGAAAACAGCTAACATATAAGGTGAGTCTGACAGGGCTTACAATCACAGGACTACACACATCTTTAAAATAAACACGCAAAAGAAATTCATGTTTCGTGACTTTAAAAAAGATTTTTTTATTAATGAACATTTTGGGATAAAGGAATTTAAAAAATAACTATGATACTTTAAAAAAAAAAACTATTGAGTATCTAATGATGTTCTCGATTAGAAGAAACTGAAGCTTCAAAGAACACACTGTATAAGGTAGCTCCACAGCAAGCAGGGGAGAGAGGCTGGAGAGCCTTGTGCACGCAGCGATGGACGGCTTCCAGGCCGACCCCACGGACAGGAGGCAGACTGGACTGGCTCAAGTTGCGGTCATGAGACTAACTTGTCAGTGACAGTATATGGCAAGTCCTCTTATGAAAAGAGCTTTTTTCTTTTTTAATTCCCTCAATGTACATTTTTTCTTTTTTCAAATGTATTACTCTTCATTTTTAATTGAGTTAACATTGGTTCACATAGTTGTGTTTTAGATGGATGGGATCTCACATCTAATCCAGCCCGCACATTACTTTCTATGGCAATTCTGTGGGAACAGAATGAGCTCTACTGGAGTTTTAGATGTAAGTCTATTTCATAAAGGGTTGACATCAAGCAAAAATTCATAATAATCTATGCAGTATTTAAAAATAAAGAATTAGGACGATTTAAACTACTTTTAGGTTTTATATGAATATATAAGAGAGGGATGGAACAATACACTTACCTCAGGGTAGTACAAATCCTAGCTCAGGTAGTACAGAGCCCACAAGGGGAAGGGGAACTGATACTCCTTAAGTGTAACAGTCTCATGTTAGCATCCTACGGAGTCTTAGTCCTTACAATTTAAATCTATCAGTTATTTCCTACTAATGGTTATGTACCTCCTCCCCAAAGGACTTTCCTCTCAGGAGTAAAATCAGGAAAGGGAATGAGTTCTAGAAAGAAATGCTGAACTTTGAGTCCTCAAAGTACAAGTGATGTTCCCCAGGACTAGGGATGTGATTTGTGTCCTCAAATTCTGTCTTACAGTCTCTTCCATGTGAAATACAATTTGTGTAATCTGCCCTTGGAAAATTCACAGTAGAGTACAAGAATCTTCTGAGGCCATCAGTTTTTGTCCTTCAGCAGCCTAAAATCTGATAACCTCAACATCCGGAAATATCCTTTGATTTGCTCTTTCTCTGATATCTAGTATCCTTGGGATCAAAGCCTCTTTCATTGGCACCAAATAATGCCCAGGCAGGAGTTTTGGCCATATAATCCTTTGCACTGAAAGTTTTTGATCCACCACTGTCTTCATAGTCCTGGATGAGCTTCTGGAAGCGGTGATAATCAATCCATGTCCACCATTCCCTATCAATCTTAAACTGAAAAGAAAACAGGTAGTCAGATCAGAAGTAAAAATATCCATTAAAAAAACCTAACACCAAAAAATGTTTAATGAGCCTGCTATTTTTCTTCCTAGCATGTAAAAGAAAATTCTGTCATGCTCCAGATATAGTTCCACAGCAAAGGAGAATGAACTATGGTCAAAGCAGAGTTTCTATTTCCGTAGGAGGGCACATGTCAGGCCTGGAAGACCCAAACACTGAGTAGAGGACGCCTCTGGGATTGTCAGCTGAGTTTATCTTGAGCAGTAACACTGAACAGGGCTACTTGAAGTTTTTGGCATCACCATGTGTTAACGGTCAAATGAATTCTAATTCCCGTTGTTGCCACTTTCTAGACGGTACGAATTTCCATGGCTGTGCAAGCAGCACCTATCAAATCCTTTTTATTACTAAACTTTGGATTATCAGTGAAACTTTAATCAATGGCTTCTAATTCTGAAATGCCAACTAAATGACTCAAGCTAACCTTTTTAGTCTAACATGGATACAATATCTCATTAGTGGAATGCCTTGTTAAGAATCTCAATTCAATAAAGAGGAATAATCCAATTTGTACTCTTTTAAGAAAATTGCTTCTCAAAAGTCACTGTAGAGTAAGGACCAGAAATGAAGAAAACAGAAAATAAGCTGAGTAGGCTCTGAAGGAACTACTAATTGATTTGTGAAGGTTTTCAATTCAAAGCCTCTATTTGGCATTAGTGTAAATGTATAATACACTGACACTGTATTTGTAAATAGATAAGATCTTTCTGTTATGCCATAGTCTTTTTAAAAATCTTGCTTATGAACCAATTTCATGTTTTAGCTGGGGAAAATATTATAAATATATAGGTTCTTGGATTTAAAATATTAAAATATGCTGAATTTAAATGAAGTCTGAATGCTCAAAGTTTTCTAAGGGAAAAAATATCAAATAAATGGAAAAGTTTAGTCTACCTATAAATTATGAGAAATTTTCTCCTAATAAGGTCATTCTTAAAACAAGGTGCCTTAACGCTTCCATGAACTCTACAACTCACATGTAAAATGCACATCTCACCCATCATTTTCTCTCCCAAGACTGACTACCCCTGAGCATTCTGTATTATTTGAAAATAAAAAATCCTCATAGCAGGAATATAACGGAACAGACGAGAAAATAAAGATAATGATGAACAGCCATATACCAGAGACATTTTATGGGGTGGAGTGGGGAATGAGATCAAAAACAGTGGGGGGAGGGAAATGCATTGGACTATGGTGATGGCACATGGGTGAATGGGTGATGGGAAACCCAAGGGGATTGCAACTGAGATGGAAAAATGCACAAAAAGATGTAAAAATAAACTATTATTTAAAAATAATAAAAAAAATTAAAAATCACTGTCATGCCCAGGTGCTGAGACTCAAAACTACAGTTACGGGTGACCTTCCTTGCCTGGCTCCACACACCCTCCAACTGGCCAGGGCCCACTGATTTTTCTGGAGCAGCATTTCTATCAGCAACACCCTGACCCAGCCCTAAAATGCAGGGCCTCCATTCTGGGCCTCAGCAACAACTTCCAGCTGACTGATCTTTTGATTCCAGTTTTAGCTGCTTCCAACTTCTGCAGGCCACCTGAGGTGACGATGCTGAGAGCAGAATAGAATTCCATAATCTAGAATATATAAAGTTAAAATATCAAATTTCCACCTACAGGCTCTTCATGAGCTACCCTCTTCTCATGTGCCCCCATGCTATTCCCTCTGTCTGATTAACACCTACTCTGTCTCGGGTCTCCTTACAAAACGTCCTTTTGCTCTGTAAAGTCTTCAGAATTCCTTTTGACAGTGACAGCGAGTTCTCACTATACCCTGAACTTGTCCAATGAGCACATATTATAATTGCTTCTGTAGTAATCGCCCCCATCCCAACCTGCCAAGACTGCAGCTGGTTTTGTGAATACATCAGGATTTCTTTTAATTTATTCTGTCACATAAATACTTGAGTGGATCTGTCTGTCCTGCTCCCCACTCTGTGTCTGGTGAATCCTCTCACCCCACACCTCTGTCCTACACCTCAGTTCTTGTATGCATAAATAACTAAAATAAAAGTTAATTTTGACACAGCGTGGCAGATGCATTGTGTAGGGGTATGCACAAAGCACTTTGGGAGTGCTGAGCAAGATGTGCTGGATCATACCCTCTCCCCAGGAGTCTGTCCTGCTAGAAGTGTTCTTCTCTTGAGGGCTCCCTGTTTTGTTTCCTGCGTAACAAAGATAGCCATAGTCTCTTCTCCTCTAAATAATTCTTGGGTTTAGATTCCAGCATCTGAAGTCCAACTCCTCAGCATCCACAATCCTTCCTTCTCCCTCAAACGCTAACAACAGTCACTTGCTATGGATATTTCTAAGACAGTCTAAAGGACTAGTTTGGACTAGAGTACTGGAAGCAAAATCACTTTTACAATCTACAGTACAAAATATATTTTATATTTCAATCTACTATGTGAACACATACACACCCCATAAAACAAACCCTGAAAACAGTTTTCACAAAACGGCAGGCAATACATTTCAATTTGAAAAACTAAGGCTGCAGCTCACTAAATTGATTTCCTAATTCTTAATGAAATTTGAGGAAAATCTGTTCTCTTCTGACTGTGAAACCCTACCCTAGCTTACAGTGGAAGAAACTGATTGCACAGATATGACAACTGTCAGCTAAAATCCTACTACCCACCCTTCTCATCACCAATGACTAAGGAAACAATTTAGAAGACAAGCAGCTGTAACACAAGGTAGGCATATTAGTTTGATTATGTTGCTGTAACAAAATACCACAGACTGGGTAGTTAAAACAGCAGAAATTAATTCTCCCACCATTTTGGAAAGGCTGGAAGCCTAAGATGAAGATTCCAGCAAATAGTCACCTTCTCACTTTTTATTTACAAAGTTTATTCTTGGTATGTTTAGTTCAGGGGTGGGATTGTGAGTTCTGTGTCTCTTTTTATAAGGACCCCAATCCTACCAGATCATGGCCTCACCCTTATCACCCTAATTAACCTCAATTACTTCCTTAGAGACCTCTGAAATAGTCACATGGGGGAAGTTAGGACTTCCACATAAGCACTGCGAGGTCATAAAAACACTCACTCTGCAACAGGTTACTCTTAAATTAACACTGAGCCAACAGACCCCTAAGACAAAACTGAATTACATATGCTGCCTCTCAAGATAACCTAAGAACAATATATTGAATAATACCTCAGAAAAAAATCAAACCATGTCAAGCAAAAGGGAGAGGACAAAGGGAAGATATTTAGTAGGATTGGGACAAAAATTGTACTGAAAGACAGAGCTGCATAAACACAGGAGTGAAACCCCAAATCACAGAATTTGAGGTTAGGTATGCTGAGACATGAGGTAACCCTGCTTCAAGAATTCCACAAATCAAACAGTAAGAAAGAAGGCAAATCTATGAAGAAGTACAAATGAGCTCAAAAGGTCACAGATGATCTCAAAAACACATCATACCCAGTAAGGCATGGCCTTGACTAACAAAGGCAGGCTGCTAAGGGTCGGTGGCCTTGATGGTCAGATGAGCCAGTTCTGTGGGCTCCCAACATCCAAAAGAATCAAACTGCTGTCCCCCCCGTGTGCCCCCACCCTCATTCCCAAGAGCCTTGTTCTCACTATTTCTCATCTTTCACAGAAGAAAACTTTACTGAACAGAATAACAGAGATTCTTCCTTATTTTAAATGCTTAAAAGACGGCACATTAAATACATGTATTTACATTTACTTTTTCAAATCACACTAAAATTATGGCAAAGGCATTTGCAAAAGACATATAACCAACAAAAGCAAAGAAAGCAGGGGAGGAAAACAGTGTCAAACTTTTAGAAGTATAACTGATCTAAAAGTTAATAATCTGATACAGGTAATAATCTTTATATTCCAAATTCCTATGTACTTCTATTCTCTTCAGTATAAAGTCTAAGCAATGAGCACAATGAGAATCATGCTCATGCTACCTATTAATTATTTCCTACCAAGAGCAGAAAAAGATGGTTTGTCTACTCCAAGGCAAATGCACAGGAACCAGAAGCTTTACACACAAACCTCTAAAGCTTCCTCTGCCTTTCACTGGCTATGTCACTTGCACAGCTTTTCATTTCTTCAGGCAAAACATTTTAAAAAATTAAAATGCCACAATGAAACATATTTGCCCTGTACCTTAATCAGTTCCTAGTGGTGTAGGTAAACATGTTGCTTTTTGTGTTTTAGTAGATGAAGAATTGACTTGAAATCAGACCACTGGAGAAGGACTGGCTGAAGGATGGAGAGACCCCCTCAGACTCAGACGTATATGCCAACTGGAAAGGCAGAGAGAAACCCCAGGGTGGTCTGACAGAGATGTGATTCTGGAATTACAGGAGGGCCAGAGAAGCACATCCAGAATTCCCCAGACTTGTGAATCTGGTTGTTGCCTGTCAGAGCGGCCACAGCTTTGCTGCTCTGTGGGTGCAGAAGGCAGAGATCACACAGACTCTAAGCACTGCAGCAGACATGAGATCGGGGGATGCAGCAGGATGGCCACCTTTTCTCTGAGTTCATGGTAAGTAACATACACACAGCAACTACCATGGGAACCATTTTGAGAGCCAAAACTACAATGGGATTGAACTTTAGATATGTACAAATGCAATAATTTTTTTTTAATCTGGAGACTCAATTTTGGACTTCCTATCTTAATCTCCAATTTTGTTGAAGAGCTACGTCCTCTCAGCTGTGTCACCAAAATGTCAACTTTCTGACATTTCTCTGAAAGTAATTACTGGGAGCAATCAGGCCTCTGATAAAGGTGAATTCTGTATGTAGCACAGAAGGGAAAATATTCAGCTAGTAGGTTTTGTGAAGAGAACACTGCACAAAGCCTAAATGGAGAACATACTTCCTTTCTTATTCTGATGAGATGGATAAGTTCTTCATTCCCTCCCTCTCCAGACTGGAGCA